GACTCCAACTCCTTGCACATTTCATTGTAATAAGGGATATACATTTAACTTGCTGGTCTGTCTGATACTTCTCTAAATCTGAACATTCACATAAAGACAGACTAGGAAGAAGGATTGGCCATCCACTTCTGAAATAGCAGGCCTCTGAAAACCCTATGTATAAAAAGTGAAGATTAATAATACTGAATCAAAAAACTACAACTAACATTGACAAACTACAACCTGCTAGCAAAATGAGCTTGTTGCCTGTGGTTTGGAGAGTATTAGGTTGTTCATTGTGCTTAAAAAAATTATGTATAGACATAAACCAATTCCTTTTACATAAATTTTTAAAATTTATATGAACTTCACAAATAGCCAACAATTTCTTTAAAACAAAGATGAAGTAATCTTCAAGAAAATTATGTTGTTGATTGCCATTGAGTAGAGCACAAGTCATAGCAACTCTGTGAACAAAAGATCTGAAGCCTTTCAGTAACTATCATTTCTCAAAGTTCATAGAGTTTCCAGTGGCATGTGGAAGTGGATGCCACTCCTGCCAAGAAAACTAGTAAAACATGTAAAAATCAGAGTGACTTGGAAAACAAAACACAATGGAGGAAATAACAGCCATAAACAGAATGAACTCAATAAAGTTGATGGAACAAGGAAATTAGCACGATAGGAGGAGTATGGCTCAAAAAACTGCATAACGTGGACACATCCAGAGGACTTTATGCTAACAAAAGGACTAGGGTGTAAGGCCAAATTGTGAAAAGAAGTCTATGCCAAGAACCTTGGAAGACAAATACCTGGCTAACCAACTGGAAGAAATCCTTTTGTGTTCCCATTCCCCAAAAAAGATCCAATGGAATGTGGAAATTACTGAACAATATGACTTGCAAGTAAAATCTTACTGAAGATTATTTTAAAAAACAACTGGAACAATAGTACATCATCAGGTAAATGCTGGAAATTCAAACGAATCAAAAGAGGCCATGAAATGAGCAATACCAACGTTGATGTCAGATGGATCTTGACTGAAAGCAGAAATACCAGGAAAACGTTGACTTGTGTTTTAATGATTATGCAAAAGCATTTGACTGTGTGGATCATAAAATTGAGAGAAATGTGAATCCCAGAACACTGTGCTCCTGAGACATCTATACATAGAACAAGAAGCTATTGTCTGAATAGAACAAGAGAATGTTACATGGTTTAAAATCAGGAAAACTGTGTCAAGGTTGTATTCTTTCTCCATACCTATTCAACCTCTAAGCTGAGCAAATAATTCAAGAAGCTGAATTATATAAAGAATGTAGCACCAGGACTGGAGAATGACTCATCAGCCAGCATTATGCAGATCAGACAACATGCTTGCTGAAAGTGAAGAGGATTGAAACACTTGACGCAGACTGTCAAAAACTAACCTTCAATATGGATCACAGCATAAAAAAAATCCAGAACAACAGACACCATTATGATAGATGGAGAAAAGATAGAAATTGTCAATGATTTTATCTTACTTGGATCCCTATCAGTCAGGAGATCAAGAGATGTATTGCATTGGACACGTGTGCTGTCAGGGATCTCTTTGAAGTACTGAGGAGCAATAATGTTAGTTTGAAGACTAAGATGCACCTGATTCAGGCCATGGTCTTTTTAATCACTTGCACAAGCCTGTGAGACCTGGATAAAGAAGAAGGGTTACAAAAAGAGGATTGATGCTTTTGAACTGTAGTGTTGGAGAAGAGTATCGAATATCCCATGGACTACTGAAAGATCCAAGAGCTATGTCTTAGAAAAAGTACAGCCAGAGTGCTCCTGGGAAGCAAGGATGGTGAAGCTTCATTTCACATATTTTGGGTATGCTGCAGGCACATCATGCTTGGAAATGTGGATGATCAGTGAAAAAGGACCTTTAAAGAGATGGATTAATACAGTGACTGCTGCACTGGGCTCACGTGTGCCAGAGATGATGAGGATGGTACAGGATAAGACAGGGTTCAAGTCTTGTTCATCAGGTCACTATGAGTCATACTCTATGGCACGTAACAACAACAACTAGTGATGGTAAGAGGGAGAGGGGAGTAAAAGAAATCTGTAATGTGAGGGAAGTGAAAGGCAATATACAACATAGTGATTAGGCATTATATTATGGTATAATTAATGTTATAAAAACATCAATGATCAAATGAAATTATTCTAAGACAAAATGTATGTAAGATGACTGAAAGTAAAAAAAAAATT